GAAACACTTGCTATCCCACGTTTGTTAGCTTTCAAAACCAACCATTAAAATTTGGGAGAGCCACACTGCATAGATGATCTTCACACACCAGGTCTCCACCTCCCAAGGCAGTCACCAGGATTCTACGCGGCTAAGTAGCTAGGATGGTGGTGCCCAAGCTGGGCTTCACATTGACATCACCTGGGAAGCTTTGCAGAACACTAACACCTAAGATTCTCCACCCCTACCAGGGACTGAAAGAAATTGGTATAGGGTACAGCCAGGCCTTCGGTCTCCAGGTGCCTCTAATACAAAGGCAAGCCCACTGAGCCAGAAGATGTTCTTAAAATCCACACTACAACTTACAACTTACAACTAACAATCTTCTTTTGTCAACTACCGTATTTACTTTTTTCTTTTTCCATTTTCATGTATATGTATGTGGTATGCATGTGTGTATATGTATGTTTGGGCATACCATGTGTGGGTGCATGGGTGTGCAAGTCATGTGAAGCCTGGAGGTTGGTGTTAGGAATCATCCTTAATTACATTTGCACCTCCATATTCACTGAGGCGGGAGCTCTCAGTCAAACCCAGAGCTTATAGATACAGTTCCTCTTGCTCCCCAGCTTACTCTGGAGATCCCATGACTCCGACTTCTGAGGCTGGAATTATAGGCAGGCCTTCTCGTCCACCTGGCATTCGCCTGGGTTCTAGGACCCCAAACTCCAGTCCTCACACCACTGAGTCACCTCTCCAGCCCCTAAATACCATATATTAAAATGTTGAGCTATCAGTTTCACAAGCCACCGGAGAAAAGTGAAAAATTCAGGCCCAGGTATGCCTACTCAATCACAATTCACATTTTTGCCAGTAGAAATGATACCAAAACAAACACCTTTTAACAATCAGCACATCCACCCATTCCCTTTTGTACTAACCTTTATTTTATGTTACCAGAAAAAATATTCTTAGAGGGATAATAATTTGAAGCAATTAATTTCTTAATTTTAGTACCTGTTAACATAATTATTAAAAAAAATTTAAAAAGGAAAAAAATAAATGATAGACAGAAAAAAATATAGGTGCTACATTCAGAATGGTAGTATGGCCAAGAGGATATTTCTGGGTGTGTAAGGGACTAAATTCCTAATAAGCAAACAGGGTCACCGAGAAATATTAAAGATGGCCACTTCCTGCTGCTTCTCAGTCTCTCTGACAGGAAGGCCTTATTTTTAACTCCAGCAGTCCAACCGACTTGCTTAGAGTCACATAGCCCCGGACATATCTCAGCTTGGAGCTGTTATCTGTCAGTCTTCTTTGTTTAAGTTGACTGATGCAAAATTAAAGGGAAGGGAAACCACTAAAACTTAAAAACCTAGGCCCTTGCCAGGGGGCTTTGGATTTCCGGTTTCTGGTCCTCTCTACTTGTGGAGGGCTTTTCTTTCTAAATGAACGGATGTAGGTATGGCTGTGATTCTTTATTGTTCAACAAAAACTGTTTGCCTGTTGCTCTCTGCTGGTCTGAGAGTCTCTTTTCCTTCCTCTTAATTCTTTAACTGGCTGAGAAAATGACCCCAACTCCTAGAGAACTACCATCCTTGATCTTGTTCCCGTAACAGGTGGGGTTGCTATTTTCCAAATACTTTTGGAGCTTTATCACTTTGCTTCAGACCGTCTGACTTCTAAATCTCAGTGCTTACAAATTTTTCCTAGAAACACATGGAAAATGCACACACAAACATATTCGCAAGGAGAGAAGCAGTGATTTTAAAGGAAAATGAGTATGTACTTCTCATGCTAAAAAATAAACAAGGGAAAATATTACTACTTACATGTATGACAGATGGAAAGAGCAAGGAGAAGAGTTATCTGGTGTGTATTAACCAGGAGTTACAACCCAAGATTTGTGGCAAGGAAAAATTTATCCTGTGCAGCAGAGATGGTTTGTGGTCACAAACTAGTGCTCCCTTCCTTATCAGTTAAAAAAAAAAAAACAACAAAAAAACGGATTTGATCTGGATGGCAATGATATAAACCAAAAGACATTAGTTTTTTTTTCTTTTTCTTCTTTTTGAGATAGGGTCTCCCTGTGGTCCCAGTTGGTCTGGAACTCACTATGTAGACCAGGCTGGCCTCGAACTCAACAGAGATCCACCTGCCTCTGCCTCTTGAGCGCTGGGATTAAAGGCGTGTACCACCATATCCAACTCAAATGATGTTATTTCCCAAACTCTTTTGCAGTTCTGGTCAACGGTCTAGAAGTAGAGTTTGGAGTGGGACATGGGACTGGGCTAAGATTTCAGGCAGGTCCCCTTCTGCCTCCTCCCTGCTGCCAAGAGGAATCCCAGCAGCTGACTTGGACCATGGGTTACAAATGAAACCTGTTACTAGGAAATGAGACAAAAATAGTGTAGCTGAGCCCCTGGTAATACTGTGGTTCTATCAGATTTTCTCTGAATTTCATACTTCTGGACTTCTTTTGCATGAAAGAATAAACTTTCCTGGATTTTTGTTGGTTTTGATATATTTAAACTCTATTCAAAATATAACTGACTGAGGGTTAGGGAGATAGCTCAGTCAGTAAAGAATAAAGACCTGAATGCTGATCTCAGAGCCCACATAACGGCCAGGCATGGCCATGTGTGCCTATAATCCCAGTGCTAGGGGAGAGAGACAGGCAGATTCCAGAGACTGGCTGGCCAGGCAGCCTAGCTGAAGAATTGTGAGCTCCAGATCAATGAGAGACCCTGTCTCAAAGGAGATAAGGTAATAGATCAGGACATCTGATATCCTCCTCTGGCCTCTG